TTCTTGTGTCCTTTTTCTTTAGTTTCTGAATTAACATATTATTGAATGTATTGCTGAATAAAAATAAGTTGCAAAGATTTTGATGGAGAGAAGACAAAATCGAGCTATACCATTGTTTATTTTGGCTACACCTTCAAATTTCTAAGGACCAGATCATGAGCTTTTGAGAAGTTTTTGTTGAGTTTTAACATAAACTTGTAAATGTTTCGTAGTCCTTGTCTTTACTTACTATTTAGGAATAACTTTCTATGCAAGGTGTTGTGGAAGCAGTTTTGACTTCCTGTCTTAGAAAACCAAAAAAAAAAAATATGTTCAACTGAAGGCTAAAGCCTGCAGAGAATGTGTGACACTTCTGGTTTTGTGTCATTTATAGCATGGAAAATACAATGTGTTGAATCCCAAAGTAATCCCTGCTGACCTATGATTGTGAAGAATATCCATAGATGGGGGTTTGAAATTTGAAATATTTGAATCTATCTTGTAACTCTCCAATTCTTTTAACTCATTTACTTTACTACAATTTCTCAACTCTCAAAAAATATCTGTCCTTTTTTCTCCCCAATACTGGGGATTGAACCCAAGCCCCACATATGGCTAGGCTGGCACTCTACCACCAAGCTACATCCTTGGCCCTTTTTATTTTTTCTTTTGAAGCAGCCAGACTGGACTCAAAACTTGTCATCCTCAGCCAGGCATGGTGGCACACACCTGTAACCCCAGCACTTGGGAGGCTGAGGCAGGGAGGATCACTGAATTCAAGGCCAGCCTGGACTATATAGCAAGTCATTTTCTCGAAAAACCAAAAACTTGTCATCCTCCTGCCTCAGTGTCCTGAGTGGCTGGGATTACCTGTACTTTCTTTATGGCTGCAAACAAAATTTCTGTGGTTGGCCACAGTGAAATCTTTAAATTTGTTTTTTAAGTTGCATTGTTTTAACATATTCTTGACGGGGCTGTAATTTGCATGACTGTCCTGTCAGCTAGCATGGGACAATCCCATCTGGTAGTAGAAGCCACCCAGTGGGACAGAAATTCATGTACCACCTGTGGTTCAAGCCAATGGGAACAGATTAATCCACCAAATTAGAAACTAGGTTTGCTAGTAACAGAGTAGTGGATTATTTCACTTATAATTAGACTCATGAAAAATAAGTTCTAGCCAGACATGGTGGCATGCACCTCTAATTCCAACACTCTGGAGGCTGAGGCAGGAAGATCACTGCAAGTTCAAGGCCAGCCTGGGCTACATACCTTGTCTCAAGACCTTGTCTGACCCTGTGGCCCCCAAATGAAGTATTAGTTTAGGGTAGCTGATTATGTTACTAAAAATAACAGTAACAAAAATCCATCCTATGGTCACCCCCCTCCATTTCATAATAGTGTAGTATTTTCAATAATACACAACAGGTTTTCAAAGGTCAGCAGTCCTATTGCAGTATTCCTGTTGTGCGGGCCACAATTAAACAGGTAAGGTTCCCCGGGAGATCTCACTCTTAGCTTTTGTTCCCAAAAGGAAGCTTAAGCCCCTCAGCAAATACAGCCACTTCAAGTATTTTTGCCTCGTGGCCATAGAGAGGCAGAGACTTCAGTCCCTCATGGTTCTGTTTAAGAGTGAATCAGGACGGGAGAGGAGGGATAGAACAAAGGTCTCTTCCTTCCTTGAGTGGTTGAGGGAACCAGACCCAAGACCTGCGCTTGCCAGACAGCAGAGAAAATGGTCTTTCTGATGCCCCAGCAACTGAAGGCTTGGGTGAGAAGGCCGAGTCTGCTGTGCCTCGTCCGGTGCAGTTCATACTGCTGTGGGCTGCAGGTGTGTGAGGGAGGAGCAGGTTCTGTCGTTGGCTGGGCAGTGTCTACTAGATAGGAACGCCAGCTGCAAATTTGTTTGTATAGTTTTGGGGACTCTTCAGTGAGCTCACATGTGGTAAAAAGTAAAACACTATGTAGGAAATTTCCCCAGACTTAAATTTGAAAGTTGATGTTGCTGCTGGCTGCAGCTAATTGCTTTCTCAAGCTCAGCTAGACAGGTCACAGCAGTTCTTTCGGGACTGGGGCTGGAGCTCTGGTAGAGCACACACCTAGCATGCAAGAAGCTCGCTTTGATCCCCAGCACCACAGGAATAGAAAAAAAAGCCACCTCCGTTCCTGAGCTTGGAGAAAAGGCAGGCAAGGGAATGTGTGGACCATGTGTGAAGCCCTGTATTGAGTTTGGAGTGGGGAGAGATTAGGGATGGGAGCAAGGTGAGCGGGCTCTGGGGTTACTTGTGACGTGGGATTTCTGTGATGCTAAGCCTGGCTGTATCTCTCTGGAGGAGTCATCACAGTACTCCAAAGGCAGAATCAAGTGGCTTTCAGGACAGTGTAAAAATCTAACTCCAGGTGTCCATCAGCTTCAGGCATACTGAAACTTCCTTTCTGGTCAGTACTCTAGTTACTCTGCCTATCACCAAGAGCGCTCTGTAGATACAAGAGCTAGGGAGCTCCTTGTCTGAGGAACCCTGCAGCAATTCTATACAGATGCCAGGAGCTGCCAGGGGGCAGCTCAGAATCCAGCATCAGCAGTTTAAGAAAAAGTTGTTCCCACTTGCACAATTTGGTAGGAAATGCAAACGTTGAGAGATGGTTGATCTCCCAAGGAAGCCTCTGACAAATCCAAGGCACCCGTGGCCTGGGGCTGTCAGGTAATGCCTTGCTGGGTTCCTCTCAAGAGTGTCTTCAGGTTTGGTTTGGTTTGGTTTTGAGGCAGTGTCTCACTGTGTAGCCCAGGCTGGCCTCAAACTCGAAGTGATCTTCCTGCCTCAGCCTCTGGGGTGCTGGGGTTACAGTGTGTGGCACCACGTCCGGCAAGAGCACTTTCAGGTTTTAGAAGGTCAAACTTTATAGCAAATAGCAAAAAGAGATCATTCCGCTTTGAACCCTTTTGTCTGATTTTGTGTCTCAATGACTCCCGGCCGTGCCGATGGCACACAGGCATGGATATGCTGTGTGTGCTGGTGGCAAAGCCCTCATTCGCAGGCACCAGGGCACCCCACCCACCACCCCAGGCCTGGGTGAGGCCTTTGTCTTCTAAGAGGTCTTCCTACCACAGGGACCTCAGCTATGGACAGTGTCCCTGGCAGGCCATTGTCACCCTGTTCTCTTTCACTGATGCTTAGTGTTTGAGCTCTCAGCAGTGTGGGTCTCACTAAGCATCATTTACAACCCACAGGTCTTGCAGGCCTCTGTAAGAGAGTTCTTCCGAAACAACTTCCCAAGAAACTGTCCCTTGCACAATTGGAGTGTTCTAAGGTCTCAGAGCCTTCAGAGATCACCAGGCCTGGTGCCTTTGTAGGTCAGCTGAGAGGGAGCTGCTCAAATCTACCAGACTGGATTTGAGGGTTCAGAATCCGGCCCCACGGGGGACTCAGGACACAGGAACATAGGTCCCCCAATTCTGCAAGCTGGATGGCCCCAGCTGTCCTACACACCGACTGACCACACCCTGCCTGTGAGGTTTGCTCGGAGGTACAGCTGCCCCCACCAAGAAGTGGGCCTAGGTCGCTGTCCCCAGGGACTGAGCAAGACCAGCAGTTGGGAAGGCGGTCCTGGTAGTCTTGGCGCATTGGATCTTTCCTGGGACAATTAACTCGAAGGTTTCAGCTCCAATGAAAGCCTGTCTTTTAACATACTGTATGCTAATTAGCAGCGTGTTGAATTGCAGAAGAACTGTGGCCTCTGCTAGAGCATTGTCCAGTCAGGTGGCAGCCATCACCTTCGCTCATCTTGGAGTATCCAGGTGTGGCGCTATGTGCCTGCTGTCCCAGCTCCTCAGAAGGCTGAGGCAAGAGGATCATTCGAGCCCAGGAGGTCCAGGCCAGCCTGGGCAACACAGTAAGACCCTGTCTCAAAAAAGAAAACTTGCTTGGAGGATAACACACCAACTATACAGTGTTTCTTTAACAAATCATGCATGGGGTTGGGGATTTAGCTTAGTGGTTCCAGCACCTGCCTTGCAAGCACAAGGTCCTGAGTTCAATCCCTGGTCCCCCCCAAAAAAAATCAATTTTGGGCCAGGGATTTAGCTCAGTGGTTTCACCACCTGCTGTGCAAGCGCAAGGACCTGAGTTCGATCCCTGGTACCAAAAAAAAAAAAAAAAATCGTGCATGGTAACAGGCTCCCAGGCTAATCCACACTGAAGTCTCTGTATAGATTATCTTCTCTGACATCCCCGCCCACCCAACTTCTCATATTTTCTTTTCTTTTCTTTTTTTTTTTTTTTTGGTACCAGGGATTGAACTCAGGTCCTTGCGCTTGCACAGCAGGCAGTGAAACCACTGGGCTAAATCCCGGGCCCAGCTTCTCATATTTTCTGATTATTCCTGGGTGGATCATCACCAGACAAGCTGGGTGTTCCCATTGCCACTGGGACAATGGAGTGTGACTTCAGGGGCTGTTATGCTTTGAGGCTGCCTTGTTATGCAGTCAGGCTGGCTTTGAACTCACTCTGTAGCCTAGGAGATAAGTCCTGGGCAGTGATTGGTTGGTCACTTCAGGACAGGAATCAAATCTGTAGACTTCTTTGCTGTAATGATGCTTCTTGCCCCAAGGGAGGAACTGGGAAGATTCTGGTGGGTTTTGATCAAATGTCAGAACTTGAAATTTATGGCAGGAGCTGGGCATGGTGGTGGACATCTTGTGATCCCAGCACTCAGGAGACTGAGGCAGGAGGATTGCCACAAGTTCAAGACCAGCCTCAACTACGTAACTACATACTATGACCTTGTCTCAAACAAAAAAAAGGTGGAAGAAACTATCACCCAGGTCAAGTGCCCACAGGAATCAAGAATAAACCCCGGCCCACCTTCCTATGGATCCTGCTACCTTTTACCCAACTTCTTGGGCACTTACTGTCAGGCACTGTTCTAGGCCACTGAGGTTCCATAGCGAATTAGGTGCAGATGTTCACCAGTGCAGTAAATAGCACACTGGTTTCAATCTCCAGCACTGCAAAAATAAACAG